TGGGGAACGTGGAAAGTGAGAACTCCAAGGAACACTCCATAACAGAGGAGAGACCTCAGGCTGAAATTATGTCCTTCTTCTTATCAACCTCCTTTAGCAGAGAGATGTTAAAAATACAGCAAGGGGCAGGAGCTGGTGGCTCACACCTGTAATCCTAGCTACTCAATAGGCTGAGATCTGAGGATCACGGTTCAAATCTAGCCCCGGCATAAAAGTCCGTGAGACTCTTGTTTCCACCAGAAAACCGGAAGTGGTACTGTGGCTCAGTGGTAGAGCACTCGCCTTGAGCTGAAGAGCTGAAGGACAGCGCCCTGGCCCACAGTTCAAGTCCCATGACCAGCAAAAAGAAAAAAAAAAAAAATGCAGCAAGGTATTGATGGTTGCACAAAGGGCCTCTGATGAATGTTTGTGTACTTTCCCAAACTTTTGTCTCTGCAGCAATCAAATGTATGTGTAGGATAGGCTTGTGTCTAGTAACATGTCATCAACTTTTCATGGCAAAATGAAATGCCATCATTTTCTTTTTTATTGTAAGGATGCTGTACAAAGGGTTTACGGTTACATGAGCAAGGTAATGAGTACATTTCCTATTGAGCATTGTTACCCTCTCCTTTGTTTTTCCCTACCATCCCTTCCCTCCCCACTTCCCCAACTCCTCTGTCCCTCCCCCCTCCACCAAACTGTAAAGTTTGTTTTCAACGTAGTGCCTTGTACATCTCATTGTTACAATGGGTCAACCTGTATCCTTGTTTCAGCATTTTGTTATTTCCCTTTCCCTCCCCAAATTATAACAATGTATAAACAAGAGGCAGGGCACCAGAATCAAATACAGTGACAATAAGAGTTATACCATGGATGAAGAACATACAAAAGAAACGAAAAAAATCACACAGTACATTAAATGTATACTAAAAACAACAGCAACAAAGAAAAAAAACTCTGATTTCACTCTCTTGGGGTTCATTTTGCTTAGCATCATCTTATCTGGTCTTTGACCTTTTCTGCTTGTACACTAGTTATTGCAAACAAGGGAAGCCATGAGACCTGTTTCTTTGGGTCTGGCTTACTTCACTTAATATGATTTTTTCCAAGTCTTTATATTTCCTAGCAAATGGGGCGTCTGGGTTGGTTCTATATCTTAGCTATGGTAAATAATGCTGCAATAAACATAGATGTTCTGGTAGCTTTAGTATGGCCATGTTTGTGATCATCTGGGTAAATGCCCAAAAGTGGGATTGCTGGGTCATAGGGGAGGTCTATGTGGAGTCTTTTGAGGAACCTCCATACTACTTTCCAAAGCGTCTGAACAAGGTTACATCCCACTAACAATGCAGTAGGGTCCCCTCCAGCATCTGTTGCTATTAGATTTCTTGATTCTAGCCATTCTAAGTGGGGTGAGGTGGAATCTCAATGTTGTTTTGGTTTGCATTTCTTTTATGGTCAGAGAAGTTGAGCATTTCTTCATGTGTCTATTGGCCATTCTTATTTCTTCTTCAGAAAAGTCTCTCTTTAAGTCTTTAGCCCACTTATTAATTGGGTGATTGTTTCTTTGGGGATTTGTTATTAGGGGATTTAATTTTTTGAGTTCTAAGTATATTTTAGATAGGAGACCCTTGTCCATTGTATGGCTAGTGAAGGAAACTCTTCTCCCACTCCATGAAGGCCATAATTTTTTCTTTTTTTTGGGTGGGGGGAGGATCCAGTCGTGGGCCTGAACTCTAGGCCTGGGCGCTGTCCCTCAGCTCTTCAGCTCAATGCTAGCACTCTACCACTTGAGCCACAGCGCCACTTCCCGTTTTTTTTCCTGCTTATGTGGTGCTGAGGAATTGAACCCAGGGCCTCAGGCATGCAAAGCAAGCGCTCTACATTGAGCCACCTTCCCAGCCCCATGAATGCCATAATTTTCTAAGATATGAATATTATGTAGACTTGAGATGAGCATTCACTATGCTTGTATTAATAGTTCTAAATTAGACTTATCTTTTCTCCTTGTCAATCTATACCCTTTTACTTGACTGACAAAGAGGTTTTTAGGACCATTAGGACCAATAGAAAGCAATGAGATAAATGACAAGGAGGAAAAGATCTTAAAATGTAGTTTTTAGCTTAGGAAAGAGTTGGTTTGTCACCTCTCAGGGATGGCCAGACTAGTCTACTGTGCTTTTTATGACCAGAGATTAAAAAGTAGATTAGAAGGCAGTAGGGCAAGTTCCTAGTGATTTTATTATTTGAAAGAGGTTCCACATATAGGATTACATATAAGTAACAACCATTTTCTGAAGGTTAAAAGGGAGATAATTAATATGAGAGCCATATTACACACACATACTTGAATCCATAATTAATGTTAGGGTCTACTGGTCTAAAATGACCAAAGGTATTTCCATCATCTTTCCGATCATTAATAACAAGCTACTCATTCTTAGATGTAAATTACTTTTAAAAGATACTGTACCTTTGCCCCCAGTATTCTAGTGAATTTTTTTTGGGGGGGGGGTCCGGTCGTGGGGTCTGAACTCTGGGCCTGGGCGCTGTCCCTCAGCATTTCAGCTCAAGGCTAGCACTCTACCACTTGAGCGCCATTTCCAGCTTTTTTCTTTTTGCTTATATGGTGCTGAGGAATCGAACCCAGGGCCTCATGCATGCAAGGCAAGCGCTCTACCACTGAGCCACCTTCCCAGCTCTCTAGTGAATTTTTGTTTGTTTCTTTTAGCCAGTTATGGGTCTTGAACTCAGGGCCTGGGCACTGTCTCTGAGCTTCTTTTATTCAAGCCTAGAGCTCTACCACTTGAGCCACAGTGCCACTTCCAGCTTTTTCTGCTTATGCTGTACTGAGGAATAGAACCTAGGGCTTTATACACGCTAGGCAAGCACTCTACCCCTGAGCCACATTCCCAGCCCCTCTTGTTTTGTTTTTTAATATAGGAGTCTCACTTTGTAGCCTAGGCTGGACTTGAACTTGTGACCCTCTTGCCTTTGCCTCCTGAGAAATGGGATTACAGGTACAGCTGGGCATATTCCTTGAGCTGATGGTAACTCATATTGCATTGGATATCTGACCAGACCTCTTGCTAAGGTAGTTCTTTTGTTTTCATCTTAGAACTATCCATTTTGCAATTTTCAGGTGTTAGAGGATTGACATCAGAATCCTTTTCATTGAAAGATTTCCAGGGGGGAAAATAAGCAAAGTTTGTTCATGGAGCATCATATCAAAACAAATGCTATCCAGGGACTGTCTTAGAACATTTCATAGAAATCAAATTCTATACTTGGCGGTTATGTATAATGACCTATGATCCCCAAAATGTGTTAGGAAGGATTGTTTGGTGAGTTACCACGCCATAGTTCTAGGTCAGTTTATTCAATGGATGATTAAGGCAAAATGTGGTTTAAAAAGTGGAGTTGGGAATGAACTGTGCCTGGGAAAGCTGGTTGTGTAGGCACTGGTTCTGAGTACAGACCTCACAGTGTTGCCTGGTCTCCAGAACAAGGATGCTCTTCCCTGATCCTGTGTTCAATCTGTAGCTTTTTGAAAGTATCTTGTTGGAACCAGAGAAGAAAGATTCACAGATTGGACAAGTTGTTATGGCTACCAAGAACTATTGGGGTTTAGCCATGAACATAAAATGGTCGGGGGAGAAGGGGTTGGAAAAGCAAGCTCTGGTCTTGGTTTGGCCTTGAGTACCCAAGTAGCTTGTCATCTCTGAGCTTCAACCTCTAAAAATAATACTGTGTTGAATAATATGTGATGAATACTTCCTATGTTCCCGGAACTATTATTAGACCTTATGTCCGGTTTTATTTGGTTCTCAGGTTTCCACTGTGGAGTTATGACTATAATCATCTCTGCTTTGCATATGAAGGGAATTGAGGCATGTACAAATTAAGTAATTTGTCCAAGTTCATGCAGTCAGGAATGACAGCTTAGAATCAAAACTCTGGTAGGCAGACTACCTTGTACCTTTTCCCTTATTCATGACACTATACCACCTTCTAAAATGAAGGAAAGGAAGAGTCAGGTGTTGGTGGCTCACACCTGTAATCCTAGCTAGAGACTCTTATTAACAGGAGACTCTTATCAACAATTAAGCTAGAAGTGGAGGTGTGGCTCAAGTAGAGGAGCTCCAACCTTGAGCAAAAATGCTGCAGGAAAGCACCCTGGCTTTGGGTTCAACCTTCAGTACCAACACTGAATGAATGAAGGAATGAAGGAATGAAAGAATGATAAATGAAATGAAGAGGCTAGAGAACTCTGTTAGTAGAGGAGGGGGCTGTCTCTGGTCTGGAAATCCACCACATTCAACACTATCACTTCCTCTCATCTAGGAGACTCTGGGGAATAGATCTTCCCCATTAGGCTTATAGTAGCATTGCAGGACTTGGCTCAGCTCTGTGCCCCAGAAGGATCCTTGCCATGGCCATTCTTTTTCAAGCATCTGGGTTAAGCAAAGTTTCAGTGGCTAGTGGGACTTTGGAGAAAGGAAGTGCCTGCAAAGTTGGTCACAGAGCCAAGAGCTGCGGCAAGAAGCCGCAAGCTCTCATCTCCAGTGAGGCTAGAAATCAGCATCCATCAGGAGGGGCAGTGGAGGCAGGTGCTGGATCTCAGGGCCACCACTTGGCCCGTTAAAAAACAAAACAACACAGCAGGAACAACAAACAAGCAGCCAAGAGTTCAGAATAAGGCAGTAAAGCAGCTTAGGTGTCAGGAGGGGGCCCACTGAGACAGTGTGGCAGGTTGGGAGGGGACTGAGGAGGAGGAAGGAAGCCACAGACAGCACCAGAGACCCTGGGAACAAAGGGGTCGAGGGATTAGTCAAAGGACCCTCAGGATCCCAGGAGCAGGCAAATCCACTGAGCTGGCATGAGAAGAAATTGAACAAAGCTGCTCACGGCTACTAAGAAGAGGAGGAAGTGGGAGATGCGCTGCTTCCTGTAGCTAGAACCATGAAGACAAAGCTGGGTGGAGACTAGTCCCTGGGCTACGGCCGCTGCTACACATACACACGACGCTGCTGCTGCTGCTGCTGCTGCTACTGCTGCTGCTGCTGCCTCTTGCTCCCTCCGTGGGCAACTCCTACTACTGCTGGGCTGGGCTGGGCTGGGTTGGGCGGGCGGCGCCAGGCTGCTGCACAGACCAGTTCGAGAGAGACAGGGGAAGCAGTTCCTGCCCAAGCTTCTGATCAGCCAAGGTAAGGGACACGTTTTCCACATTGCTTCTTATTAACAGAAAGAGAAGAAGAAAAAAATCACCCGTGCCTGGGCTTGTGAGGTAAATTTGGGTGGTGGTGGGGGGGGGCGGGGGAAAGCAAGGTACATTGCTTCAGGATTGGGGGAAATAAGTAGGAAGGATTCTTTTAACAAGGGATTTGAAGAATGATGGACAAATTCATGACACATTCTCCCCCCCCCAACACACACACACCCCACTCCCCCAAAATCTCGGTGCTTAGTTTTAGTGACTGGCCAGGAAGACATACTGAATGCAAGAAAGGGTTTGCATAGTTGGGAAGAAAAGCCAGAGGGAGTTGAATGGGGCTGTGAAGCTGTGATCTGGGCATCTCGGGGTTGCAACCCCTCGTTTAGGGGTGCAAGTATTGGGAAATGGGAAATGTCTTCTCTTTCTAATCGATGGTTACACTAGGTTGTCTTTTTTGCTTTGCCCACATGATGGCTGTGATTTGGCTACTTGGGAAGTAGTGTTAAATCCTTTTGTGCTCAGATATTGCCAACAAAGGCTGGAATTGCGTATGTTAAGAAGCAGTATTTACCACTAAGAAACTGGTGTCCCTGTCTGTCTCCTCCTCGGCTCTATGCAAAATCAGCTACCCTTTGCCACTCGGTCTTAAAGTTGCATCTTCCTTCAAAGGAGTGCCGAGGGGTTAGGGACAGAAACTTGTCCAGAATCCCTGACTGCCCTAGGTATGGATTTTATGTTTTATGTTAGGGGTTTCTTCATCTCTAGGTCAATGTGGACGTTAATCTCAGACAGAGCTAAAATATAAAAGTGAACATTGTTGTTTCCTTACCTGTACATGCCATTGACTGAAGTTAAACAATCAAACTATCGCTTTTATTCATTAATTTTCCTGAGCAGTGGGTGCTATTAATGAGAGCATAGGACTGGTTTGTATTTGTGAATGATATGTAAAAGTGCAGTAAATAGGTCTCAGAGCAAGAAATGAGAGTGTAAGATTTCTTTGGCAGGATCTGTAGGAGAAGCAGTCTAATACCCTAGTGTGGCAGGATTTTTTTTAATTCAGTCTTTGTATGTTCAACACAAAGTATAGTTAAGCAAAGCAGTCATTGAAAAAGGGGTTTTCTTGGCATTTTATAATGAAAGATGATAGGTGTTTGGGTTTTTTTTTTAAAAAAGAATGAGTTGTTTTTAATGAGTCTAGAACAATAAAATGGCATATTGAACCACTCATGCATTCTTAAAATACAAGTTTTTCACAACCAAATATTATACCCAATTAAGAATGTACATGTGTCCCAGATAATGATCACCATTCTCATATGAAGAGCTGTAAGGCTGTTTACTTATGGATTTATTATTATTGTTGTTGTTATTATTTCCATTTTAATGAAGTTGATTTAGCTCTTCTGAATTTGTGGACTAGCAGCACATTTTTGGAGACAGAGCTTTTATTGATATTAAAGAAAAACCTGTCTGCTTTTTCTGAGGCTATTGCTGATTAGAGTAAACCTGTACCTTATCACAGAAACAAAGTATTACTGGTATTAAAAGCATGGTGCTCATCTAAAGGATTCAGTGAATTTCAACAAACAGATGGGCAAAGCAAGTCATGTCATGATATCACAGTTCCTATCCTAAATGAAAATATGTAAAGCTAATCTTCCTAGATAGGAGACCTGGGGTAGATCTGAGAGTCCTGCAGTCAAGCTGCATGCCACTAAATGCAGTAAGAAGTTATGAATCTGGGCTGAAGAATGAGGACAGGGCTTTGATATTGATCTGTCTTAGGCAGAAGATAATGCCAACATCCTGCTTTGTTTGGGTATGTATAGAAAATATATGTTACTCAGTGTATGTGTGTGTGTGTGTGTTTGTGTGTGTGTGTGTGTGTGTGTGTTTCATACCAGAGTAAGAAAATGAAACCTTGGTGCATAAGCTTCATAGAATCAAGAGGGGCCCCTGTTTTTTTTTTTAAAGCAACAAAAAGAGGTGGCTGCTTTCTGTATAGCACAAAACATTTCCTTAATTGCTGAACTCCAGCTTGAAGCAGAACATGAATAACAGCAGGTCTAACAATGGTAGAATGTTTAGGAAAAAGATGAATTTACTCCTATGCTGCAAAATAAAACTATGTGCACTCATTCTGGCCATATGGAATATTGAATGACATTATTATGCTTTTGCTCAGGGTATTCAGAGGCTTTTTATGGAGGCAATCAACACTGAAAATTTAATTGTATGTTCTTGTTCCATCCCCCTCTCCCCCTGCCTCCCCTCCCCCCCCACCATATGGCCAATGACTGAATGGAAACATGACTCCATTATTTCATGGCCAGCTCTGGGCCTCATATGGTAAGCATGTACTGAATGTGTTTGGTTGACTGACTTCTTTAATCTACTTAGAAAGCAAGTCCAACTTTTAAGTCTAAAAGCCTGTTCACAAATGATTTCTGAGGAAAGGATACCATGAATGAAAGAACACAGGCTGCAGAGGCTGGTACATCTCTGACTATTGCCACCCATTCCTACTACTTGACCTGGTACATTAATTTATGAACCTTCATTTGTTCATTGCAAAGAAGAGAGAGGCAGCTATCATCAAGGTTTTGGTTTTGTTTGACTCTTGCTTTTGTATGTGAATAGGTGAGTGTCTGGTGAATAGGAAATTCTCAGGTGTCATTTTTTTTCTTTCTTAGTGGCATAAGGAAAAGTTAGCCTGTTCTTGATCTTTGCCTCTGCTTTCAAGGCTGGAGGAGATTTTTATTACGAAAAGCACTCATAGCATGTAATTTTCCATTTTACCTATTTTTAAGCATTCAATTCTGTGATGGTAGATATGGTTTTGTCATGACCATTTATCCACCAAACTCAGCCTTGTGGAACAGAAACTCTGTAGATTAAAAAACAAAAACAATAAACTTCCCATTCTCATCATCACCCACTTTTGTCTCTATGAATTTGACTAAGTTTCTCACATAAGTAGAATCACAGAATATTTTCCCTTTGATGATAGTCATTTAGTATAATGTCCTCAAGGCTCACCCATGTAGCATGTGTCAGAATTTCTCTTTTCTAAAGCAGAATAATGTTCCATTGTATATCAACACCATAGGTTTATTCATTCATCATTCAGTGGATACTTGGACTACTGTCTTGGCTATAAATAATAATCCTGTAAATACAGGTATACAGATAACTGTTAAGAGTCCTTGTATTTGGAGTACCCAGAATCATTGGAACATAGCAATTTTATATTTATTTTTTAATTTTCTTTTTTTTTTTTCGGTGCTGGTCTTGGGGCTTGAACCCAGGGCCTGGTTGCTGTCCCTGAGCTTTTGTGCTCTATCACTTGAGCCACAGCTCCATTTCTAGCTTTTTTGGTGGTTAATTGGAGACAAGAGTCTGAAAGATTTTCCTGGATGGGCTGGCTTTGAATCGTGATCCTCATATCTCATCCTCCTGCATATCTAGGAGTACAGGTATAAGCCACTAGTGCTCAACTGTTTAATTTTTTTTGGAGGAACTTTATACAGTTTCCCTGAGCTAACAGCTAGACCATTTTACAAGGCCACTAGCCGTACACAAGGTTCCGGTTTTCCTACTGACACTTACTATTTTCTGAGTTTTGTTTGTTTTTGATAATAGTCATCTTACTGGGTGGGAAGTGGTATCCCATTGTGCTTATGATTTGCATTTTCCTGTCCATGGCTGTCACCCTGGATGCTCAGATTTGCATTTTCCTAATGATGAGAGCTGTGGAGCGTCTTTTCCTAGGCTCATTGGTATATCTTCTTTGGAGAAATATCCATTCAAGTCCTTTGCCAATTTTAACTGGATCATTTTTCAAAGACACTTTTTAAATGATGGGATCTCTCAACGCGTATCACTACATTATGACTGTGATGTTTGTATTTCATCTCATATATGAGGCTTATTCCCTCCAAATTTAATATTCTTCTCAAAAGTAACTTTTAAGCCAGGCGCCAGTGGCTCATGCCTGTAATCCTAGCTACACAGGAGGCTGAGATCTGAGGATTGTGCTTTAAAGCCAATCCCGGGCAGGGAAATCTGTGAGACTCTTATCTCAAATTAACAACCAGAAAAATTGGAAGTGCGTTGTGGTTCAAAGTGGTAGAGCACTAGCCTTGAGCAAAAATGCCCAGGGCTAGTGCTCAGACCGTGAGTTCAAGCCTCACAACTGACAAAAAAAAAAAAAAAAGAAGTAACTTTTAAAATCCAAAGAAGAAAGTAAGAATAGTTGCACCAGTTACCAAGCAGATCAAATCCTAGGCTGGGCCAGCACATCTACCTGTTTAACAGAGGGCTGATGCTTCTGGTCCCCTCTCCTTTGTGACATTACTCAGGCTGGGAAAAAGTCTGACAGGTAGTAGAATCAGAAAAGAGAGGAGGAACTGTGATACCAAATTGGTCTCCAACTTACATGATGAGGAACATTTGCCTGTGCAGAGAGCTCTAGTGGTTAAACCATACAATGAACTTCGGAGACAACTTCTTGAGAATAGAAAGAGATTAGAGTCCAATTTCTCCTTTCAAATTCAAAACCTTTTTGTTTCATTTTCCACTACAGATTTTTCACCCCTAATCCTGAAACCAGGGTGGGCTGGCTATGTGTAGGATGAAGGAGAGCGGGGCTGAAGGAAGGACTTTTATTTATTTATTTTTGCCAGTCGTGGGGCCTGAACTCTGGGCCTGGGCACTGTCTCTCAGAAATTCAGCTCAAGGCTAGTGCTCTGCCACTTGAGCCACAGCGCCACTTCCGGCTTTTTCTGCTTATGTGGTGCTAAGGAATCAAACCCAGGGCCTCATGCATGCAAGGCAAGCACTCTACCACTGAGCTACCTTCCCAGCCCCTCTGGGGAGGACTCTTAAGTAGTAACAATATCTAGCTTTATGATGGGATGCAGATGTTGGCCTTGCCAGGTTTGTCAGCACACACTCTGTGTGTGGATATGCATGGGGATGTCTTGTAGC